TCATCACGGTGGTGAGCTGACTGATTGTTCTCGTCCTGATCGCCTTGATGCGCGATATTAGATTGAACACCTCCTTCTCCGACCGGAAGTGGATGCGAAACCGCAGATATTTGCTGATGCTGCAGTCCAGCTTTCAATTCTGCATTTTCTTTTTTGAGAGCTTCAATCAAGTTCATCAACTCTTCAAGCTTTGTTTGCTGGACAGCCTCCATCGGATTGGAGCTTTCACCTATCATTATTCCCGAACGGAGTAAAGGCATTAATCTCAAGTTCGCGAGTAGATCTGAGCTTCGTGAGTAGGAATTTTTAGATCTGGCTTCTAATTCTCCGAATTATGCTCACTGTTTACGAGATCTGAATTGTCTGAACTCTAAATCCGTCAGATCCTGCCACAATCGAACAACTCGTAGATCTGAAGTCACTCCAAAGCTTCAAGAATTGTAATTCCTCCAGAGCAGGTCACAATCGCTCAGCTCTGGATTCAAATCCCAAAGATCGAGTCTCGATCAACCGAATTGGTTTGAATCCATTCGATATTCCTCATTGATCAACCAAACTTCCATGCGTTTCCCACAGACGGCGCCAATTGAAGATGCAAGAAATTCCTTCTCCTCTTTCTCTCTCTAGAATTCTTACACCTCAACCCAAAAAAGATCCCCCTCCATTTCATTCCATCTCCTATTTATAGATATTTACAAGATATTTACTAATTGCTGGATCTGGGCCTATTCCTTTGTAAGCCTTGGTCACCTTTGATGGGCTTACTCTCGTTCGGCCCATATGGCAGTGTCCTTCTATGGGCTGGCCCAGCTGTACGGACTGAATGCTATGTTTGCGAGTCGGATCTGGCCCATGTCATCCGGGGCCTCCTCAACCGTAACCTAGTTTTTTACCCAACACTTTGTTACTAAATACTTAGATTTATATATATATATATCACTCTCAATCATTATTAATTGTGTTTGATATAAAACTATATACAATTAAATTAGTATTTACATAATCTTATAAGCAATTTACAAAAGAATGAAACTCACTTGTTATAGAAGTTTGTGGAAAAAGTGAGGAGGGTGATATGGGCATAATAGAAAATTAAGATGTGAAGGCACCACTTTCACGGGAAAGTAAAATTTCCCTGTATTTTATGTCAGAAAAATTTTAAAAAAAATTAAGCAGTTGCAATAAGATTACTTTCTTGAAAATTTTATTTTTCACGCTAACCAAACTTCTAAAAAAGTTAAATATTTTCCTTTTATTTTCCTTTCTATATACTTCATGCTAACCAAACAAACCCTTAAGCTTCGATTGGTTAGAAGATTTAATCTTTGAATGAAAATTCATCAATATAGGTACCTACTATGTCACTGGACCTTTTTAATGTATAAAGATTGAATCTTTAAAAGAAACTCATAGAAACTTTTCTAAAATCATATATTTTGAGGGTTGGTTGGTTCGGTAGACCGAATTGAGGCATCGGTCGACCGAAATAGGCCATTGGTCGACCGAAATGAATGAACAAAAAAGAACCGAAATGAGAAAATATGAATAACGGAAGAAACCACATCAAAAATCAAGTCCTGAGTAGAGAAATATGTCCTGAATAAGTTCAGCTGCAACTGCCAGTGCGTCCTATGATGAACCGAAGATTGACCCGATAACGGATCCAAATACGGAAGCGAAAACATAAAACAATACCCCGAAGATGCAATACATTTCTAAAAAGTCGAATTGATATATAATCTTCCTCCTCCAAATTCTGTCCGTCAAATCCGTTCCTTTCTTGGTCATGCCGGCTTCTATCGCCACTTCATAGCTTGGATCATCTTCTGCAGGTGCAACCTTTCTCCCTATGATATACCCCTTTTCCTGTCTACCAGCAATATGAATTTCAAAAATCCCGTACGAGTATCCAGGCTCAAAATAAGGCATTTTGCAACAACTTTCATTAATTGCACACTTCTTGCCTGTGATCATCTTTTCTGGGATTTGTACCATCTCCAGAAGAAGAAAGGAAAGAGAATTTTTTTTATTTTTTTTTAGAGTTTGGATAGATGGAAAAAGAACTGTAATAGAAAATATAATTTCTCACAAAACTTTTTCTCACACAAAAACATAGGAAATAAATATTTTATCCTAAAAACTTATTTTTATATTCGAAGTTCCTATTTTATCCGAGAACTGAATCATGTAAAACAATTAAATTCTTTATTTTTTAACTGAGTTTCTTTTCTATTAAGTTTTAAAAAGATAAGTTCTCTAACAATTTCTATTTTAGTAGACTTCTATAAGGCAACTTCTCTTTAAACATGTTCTCTTGTCATACTATTTGGACGAAATTTTTATTTTTATTTTTATTTTTTGTTCAAAATATATACATTGGATCATATATATTATACACCTCTATTATATACGGAGAGGATTATATATATATATTTTTCTCTTTTTGTGTTATCTGGTTGAAAGCCCATGAGCCCAAATATTTATTTTTTGTTTTTATTTTGAAGCTTCCTTATTTCTTTTAAATGAATAGATAGGTTCTCCCTAAGAAGTATAATGTTTTAATTTAAACAATATAAATAATTATATTAAAATTTAATAATTCGTCATTTTATTAAAATTTTGATAAAAATTGACACAATCAAACACAAATTTATTTATTTATTTACTATTTGAAATCATAAGGTTAATTTTGATATGCACAAACGCTTTATTTTCATTTTCATGTTGTCCAAACTAACAAACTAATATTTTCATACAATTTTTGCGAATAAAATTTCATGCTAAACAAATACTTGATAGAAAATAACTTTTCTTTTCATTCACTTTACTTTTTTTTTTTTTTTTTTTCATTTCACTTGTTACTTATTTCTATCTAATCAAATGGAGCCTTAGGAGTAAAGTTTTACTTATAACAAATCTTGTGCGTGTGAAGTTAAAGCAATTACTCATGCTGTGTTCGGTAGAAAGGAAAAAATAGGTGCAGAAATAAAATAGGAAGGTTCAGTGGGAAAGATACAAGAAAATAAAGGATAATAAGAAGGATGACACATCTTTTCTCTTTTACAAATTTTCATTAGTCAAAAAATGAGATAAATAAAGGATGAAAGACAAGTAGACTATTATAAAAAAATTAAATTACATTACTATTATCTATAAATTACAATATTATATTAATATTATTGAATATAATGGTAAAAATAATTAAAATTTTCTATTTACTTCTCTCTTAACTAACATAGTAAATTATGAGTTTTATTTATTTTTTTATTTTTTATTCCACCTAACAAAAAGAAGAAAATTCACAATCTCTTCCCCATAATCATGTTTGGTATGAAGGAAAGAAAGGGTTGGAAGGAAAATAGGAAGGAATGAACAAATTTCTTTATTTCGGTAGAGATAATATAAGGAAAGAAAGGACAATAAGAATGCCTCCTTCACAAATTTTCATCCGCCCAAATATGGACACAAGATAGGAGATAAGACAAATGAGAAGTTTTAAATTATTACATCTACCTCTTAAATATTTAATAAATTTCATAAATAAATTAAGGGACGAGTTTAATAGTAAAAACAACTTAAAAATCTATATTTCTGTCAGTTTTTTCTATTATCTTCCATTTAACCAAAAAAGAAGAAGAGGGAAACGTTGTCTCAATCATCCTTTCTTCTCTCCTTTCTATTTATTTATTTTTTTTCTTTCTACCGAAACTAAGCATATGAATGTCTTATCTATTATTTCTTCTTTCCCTTCTATCCAAAATTTTTTATTACCCACTATACGGAGCATAATAAATACATGCATATAGATATATTTATTTAAGCGTTACAAACAGTTAAAAAATTAAATAAAAATAGATATATATAATCAATTAATATGATCATATATTACCCATGAAATACTTTTAGGGCCAGTTTGGTGCATTGGAAAAGGGAGGAAAGGGAAGGGGAGGTGATGGAGGGAAATTTAAAATTTTTGTTTGGCAAAAATTATTAGAAGGAAAGGGAAGGTTTTGGAAGGATATCTCAAAGCTTGTACAGTGTTTTGCTTATCCTCCAAAAAATGGGAGGAAATGGAAGGAAAGGGAAGGACAGGCTTGATGAAGAATTTCTGATGTCAAATTTACCCATACGAAAACAAGAATTACAGAGCTTGATGAGTTGATTTAGAAAAAAAATTAAAACAAAACCCATACATACAAGTTAGCCGTTGCAGAGAGAGAGGGGGGCAAGCTTGAAAGTTGAGAGACAACCGCTAAAGTTTGCAAACGGCGATCCCGAACTGGAACAGCGGGCGATGGAAACTGAAAGAGATGCGTTTTGATTTTTGGAACAATCTGAAATGATATGCATGGGTTTTGATATAGGTAATAGTTTTTGAACTTTTGATTCTTGCAACAGATAGATAAACAGAATTATATGGGTTTTGAACTTCTGATTCTTGTAGATTTGTAGTTTGCAGTTGCAGAGAGAGGGCAAGTTGAGAGTTGAAAACGAGAACAGAGATGGAGGCGGTGATTGGGGAGGCTGAAATGATTTGCCCTACATATATATATATATTTATTTATTTATAAATTTAACTTTTAAAATATAAAAAGGTACAATGATAAATTTATTTAAATCATTTCCTTTCTTTTATTCTTTTAAACATAATTATTGTCCTTTTTTTTTTTAAAAAAAATTAAAATTATCCTCCCTCTTTTTTTCTTTTCATTTTTCTTATAACTAATGTCATGATTTCTTTCCATACCCACCGCACCAAACACAGCGTTAATATTAGTTTGGTAGTACCTCTCCCACTTCCCTCTGTATTTTAACTGTGACATTTTCTTTACATGAACGAGTTAATTTTTTATATTTAAAATTACCGAATTTGAACGGGCTGGAAACTTGACACGTGATATGAAATGGGCTGCCCAAACAAACGATCCAAGTCCAATCACAAGTAACCAAGAGGTTGAAACCAAGGCCACGTGTGTGATATATATATATATATATATTATGAATGATTGATTGATTGAGGTTCTTCTCAACGAGAATTTAGAAGAGAACAGAGTGCGAGAGAGATCTAACTCAAAAAAAAAAAAAAAAAAATTCTCTCGTACCACACATACTTCTTTCAGATCCACGATCAGAAAATATGTCTTCAGGAGATTTCAGTGGCGATGAAACTGCTCCCTTCTTCGGTTTCCTCGGCGCTGCTGCCGCCCTTGTCTTCTCCTGTACCCAAACCCTAACCCTAGATCTCTCATCAAATTTATATATGCTATAATGTATGTATTACGGTATTGTTTGTATAGATCTTGACTTTGTTGTGATTGTTCAGGTATGGGAGCTGCCTATGGAACGGCGAAGAGTGGAGTTGGTGTGGCATCGATGGGGGTGATGAGGCCGGAGCTGGTGATGAAGTCGATCGTTCCGGTGGTTATGGCTGGTGTTTTGGGTATTTATGGATTGATTATTGCTGTTATTATCAGCACTGGGATTAATCCTAAGGCCAAGTCATATTACCTGTTTGATGGTTACGCCCATCTTTCGTCTGGTCTTTCTTGTGGTCTCGCCGGTCTATCTGCTGGAATGGCGATCGGGATTGTTGGTGATGCCGGTGTTAGGTATAATTAATTATATTGCTAGTTTTTCTTCTATTTTATCACTCAATGATATTTTAAATGCCAGTTGTATATTTGAAAGGTAAAGCTAACATAAAGACAATAGCAGCGATCCAGTTCTTAAGATTATATAAAGTGCATTGAGATTGATTATCAACTGGTGGATAAACGGAATTCGTAGTCCCATCACATGTTGATATATTAAATCAATACAAACTATACCCATCACAAAAAAATAATAATAATAATAATAATAATAATAATTAAAAAAAAAACGTATCTTGTGGATCTTGTTGTAGAAATCTAAACCTTAGGGTGATCTAATCTCCAGTCCATTAATCAACATCTTAGATTGGTCCATCAATTTTAAAGTATACATTAGCTGTATGCCCTGCCAACGGTAATTAGACCCGGGTAGACTGATTGGACCAAATTTTCACACAAGTCTAGACACACTAGAAATTGGGCATGTTAAAGCGAACGCGCTTATTTTGGGACTCTTACCTTTTCTCTTAAAGGGACACACTATAATAAGTCTATGAGAGATTACCAGAGAAGCTCTGTCAAATCTTGTACACTCCTCTAGCATTTAAGCTTTGAAGGCGATGAACAACAAGAACATCAAATAGTGATGTTCTTTCTCAAATTCAACAAGGTCATAGAATTGTTGAGCAATCGCACCTTATCTCAATAAAAAAATATTCTCTGCCTTTTTTTAGTAATGGAGATTATGTAGAATCTGATTATCAAAGTCAAGATTAAGCTCGTCCATCCCCTGGATTTGGACAATGACAGAGCGAGAATGGGCTCAGGGTGGCAACTGCCCACTTGATATATATATATATTAAAAAACAAAAACTTATATATATGTATTTTGTGAAATTTACGAAAAGCCTCCTTAAATTCCCCCTTTCTACAAATCTCTCTAATTCCTTCTCTCTTTACTTTTTTACTGATTCAATCCAAGCCCTCTTATTGAATTGCTCATACTCTTCCTCAAATTTCTTTGATGCCCTTCAAAAAAAAAAATTTCCATTCTCATTCTTCAATCAAACTATTTTTTTTTCCCTTTAAAGTTCCTTTATTTATATTTTCTTCTCTCCCTTTCTCTCTCTCTTCTTAAAATTTTTTCGCCTTACATTCACTTATGATGTATGCATAACAACTATTTTTGCGCTCTTGTTTTTCTTCCTCTCGCTTCTTCTTTTTCTTCAAATTTATTATTGCAATCAATTGAACTTAATGTCTGAATTTTTCTTTCCTGCAATTTTTCATGAATTGTGACATTCTGTTGGAATATTGATTATTGCACTTATATATTTCTGGCTTATTGTCTTTCTACATTGTTAGTTGGAGTGTTAGTTGGAAATAAATCTATTTTATATTAAATTCTTGGCTCTATAACTGGATCTGGACCCGTGAAACAAGAGGACTCGTTCTTTGTATAAAGGATGCATAACAAAGGATTGTACTTCTATAATTTATTTTACTTTATTTTTTTCAAATCACTAAGATTGATATTTGTTTAATGCATTTGATCCATTGGTTTGATGAAAAACTGGTACAATCCGTTGTGGTGTGTTTCTTGCAAAAAAATAAAAAGAAAAATAAGTCCTTTCATTCAATTGCCTTCACATGTTTAGATCCAGGGACTGAATGAGCTTGTTTATTCAATGTTGGGAGTCTTCAATCCTTTGTTGTTGAAGAAGGCTAGAGAAAATTTTAGATCTATGGTTGATGAATCTTGATCTTTTAACAATTTTTTGAACTTGTTGAATTGTTGAGGAAGAAGAATACAATTTTACCTGCTTTTTGTATTTCGTCTTTAAAACTTGGAAGGTGCTGAAAGAAAAGTAGAAGATTTGGAAGCTGCTCAAACAGTCTCTTAGGGTTTTTTTTTTTTTTTTTTTATGTGTCTCTACCTTTAACCTAGACTCAATGGAGGGGTAGAGTCTCTATCTATAGACTCAGTTTAATGGTAAAGTCTCAATGTTAAGAATTAATTAATCAGAGACACTCGATCTTGGCACGTTACTTGGAGTTTATCTATTGTCACCCATTTTCTCAATGGATTCTAATTTGGTTTGATCCACCGAACCATTTATTTGTGGATGACTCTATTGGTGGGACCCAAATCAAGGTTTGAGGTTTTGACTAACCAGTTATGGGAAATTGTTGTTCTTTTGATTGATATGTTCATTCAGTACTACCGTCTGGTACACATTTATTTCTAGGAATGATGTTGACTCTTGAGGCGGAAACCCTGCTGGATTGGTGATTAAGTTACCATTATTTTGATGTTTACACTTCCATTCCATATATTTTCAGCCAAATTGGTGAAGATGGAGGAATTGGAGGAGAAGACATGTAGTGAAGTAAAGTTCTTTCTTATTCATCATTAAAAAGTATGGTCGAGTATAAAAGTTTCCATTTTATGCAAAGTGATGTAAATCGCTGAGTCCATCTCTAGTTTATTCCTGGCCTGTGTTGGTAAGAGACCAGTGTAAAAGGCCTTTTTTAAGGTAAAACGGATTTTAGCACATTGAAAATTTGAACTCTTAAGCCTCATAGATAAATATTATAGTATGCCTTCAAAGAAAACTCATACTGAATCTGTGAACAGCAAGAGAAATGCATGGTATGAATAGAGGATATATTCTTGTTCTGGATCTTGGGGAAATAATGAATTAACTTCACAAATAGTTAGGTAATCATTTACATCTTTTGAGTAGTCTTGTGTAAATTTAGCTGTTCATATAGATCGTATAATTGTATTTCTTGCTTGATTTAATATCTTGAAATTTGATACCTGGAAGATCGTGTCATTGTGGATTCTACAGGCCCTAAATGTTAAATGTGCCCTAGGTAACTTGTGAAGCACGAAATCAGGGACCACTATTTATTTGCAGCGGTAGCAAAGTGATTGTTGCTCTTCTTATTGTTTGAGAAGATAAACTCGAAAGTGTTTTCAGCAACAGAATGCTTATCTATAGATTAATTAGATGTATATAAAGAGGCTCCAAAGTGGATGCTTGCAACCTACGTGCAAGCAGAGTACACTATGAACGCCCCAGTTATACCAGCTGGGCTAATGGCCCTGTGTTATCCATCCATCTATATATGCACAAATAGAGTGAAAAGAATCACAAGCTCGATTAACGGTGATCGCATTGGGTAATGCTATGAATATATTAGCTGTCCAATTTATTGAAGCACAATCGTAAAGTGCTAACATGGCATTTAAAAGGGCGGTCATGTTAAGGTTTAATTATTATTGTTGGAAATCAATAGTAATATGTGTATAATGTACTTATATAATAGTTATGCATTACAGCTTGTCTTTGTCCTTTATTACCATTACTGTGTCTTATGTGGCTTATTCAGCATGCTTACTGATTTAGAACAAGGAGATCTGTAAGGAGATTCTCCCTTTAAGCTCCTTAAAGTTTGAGTTTGTGGTGAGAAGATATTGTGTACATTTGTTTTTCAACTAACCTACGAGTGGTATCTGGTGTATAATTCTCGACTACTCATGAGTGGTCATTTCCATTTGCAAGTTGAAGTTGCTACACTGTGGAAGTCCATCGAGACATCATAAGGCATGGTTAATCCACCAAGGAACAAAAACATCTCTGTCACCAATGGTGAAGACCGTGAAGGGTAGGGTCCTGCCATTGTTTGTGCCTGAGCAGGTCAATATTACTAAGAGCATCCCATTTCTTTGCGTTTTAACCAATAGTTTCTGTAGCCTATTTTGTCATGTTAGCAAGTCTTCCCTATAAAAAGATTTGAGTGCAACTTATTGCCTGAAGCTGACAACTAGAGAAGTTTTGGTACATTTTAACTGCTCTACTACGTCCAGTATTTTTTTTTAATGATCATGTTTTACCATTTACATTAGAGGGTATATGTGGTCCCCTTGCTATCAAGGCTCATAGGGAGAAGTAGAGCCGATAGTTTGTGTGTGTGAGCAACATGTCATGCTTGTTTGGACTTTTGAAGAAAATATTAGAAGATTGTGCTTATTTTGGGAACGGTGTGGAAGAAATGAACCATACACTTTATACGTGTTAGTATAGAAAGAAAATCAGGATCCAGTGCCTGAGCGGTCTTGTAGAGGAGATCAAGTTACGTGAGGCTATGTTTGGTACGGTGGGTTTGAAGGGAAATGATAACATTAGTTATGAGAGAAAGGGAAGGGAAGGGTAATTTTAATCTCCTATTGTGTTTGGTTGATTAATGAAGGAAAAGAAAGGGAAGGATAATAATCATATTTGGGAAAAGGAAGGGAAAAAAAAGAAAGAGAATTATTTTAATAAATTGACTATTATACTCTTTTATATTTTAAAAGATATATATATATATATATTCTCCTGTACCTTTAGCAGGCCCATATAGATGATGGGCCACAAGAAAAGAAAAAAAAAATTTAGGGTAAATCATTTCAGCCTCCCCATTCTCGCCTCCATCTCTATTCTCGTTCTCAACTCTGAACTTACCCCCCCTCTCTATCTCTATGTGTCTGCACTACAAGAATCAGAAGTTCAAAACCCCATATATTTCAGTTTATCTATCTGTCTGCAAGAATCAAAAGTTCAAAACCCGTATTGGTATATCATTTCAGATTGTTCAGAAAATCAAAACCCATATCTTTCAATTTCCATCGCCGCTGTTCCAGTTCGGTTTCGCCGTTCGCAAGCTTCAGCCGCTGGCCCACCGTCTCTCACTCTCTCTGCAACTGCTAACTTGTATGTATATGTAATCTTGAGGGCAAATTTGGCATCACAAATAATATATGAACCCTCTCCTTCACTTTCCTTCCTTTTCCTCCCATTTTTGGGAGGATAAGCAAAATACTGTTCAAGCTTTAACATAACCCTCCAAAACCTTCCTTTTCCTTCCTTTTTCTTCCAACAATTTTTGCCCAACACAAATTTTTAATCACCCTCCATCACCTTCCCTTCCCTTCCCTTTCCTCTCTTTTCCATTGCACCAAACTGACCCTGAATGTCAGCTTGAGTGATGATTCCATATTCTTCAATTCTATCTTTCCTTCAAGATGGTTAAAACAATTTTTAACGTGTTATGGAAGTAAAGATTGCAAATAATTTTTAAAACTAGACTGCTAAAGCTGATTTGAAGTCACTTTGATCTACTTAATTGTAATAATTGATTTTTGTGCACGATGAGAAGGTGGGTTCTGCTAATTGTTGATCAATTATAATTTAGGGGGAAAAAACATACATTATAATTTATATCTTTAAATTGTGTTTCCCCTGAATAATTGATTTTGTTTCACAGAGCAAATGCGCAGCAGCCAAAACTTTTTGTTGGGATGATCCTCATTCTCATCTTTGCTGAAGCTCTGGCTCTCTATGGCCTTATTGTTGGCATCATCTTGTCTTCCCGCGCTGGCCAATCCAGAGCAGACTAAGGTGCCCTTTTATCTGGAGTCCTTATATTACTTTATGGTGTCACCATGGAAAAAGAAGAAAAAATCAATTCTTCGTGGATCATGACAGCACTTGAAGGGGCCGTCAATTATTCACTTTGAAAGTCATTGCCTTGATCCTGTGGTCACACGGTGTTGTTTTTAGAAATAGATTTGAGTTTTTTTCTGCAGAATAAAGCTTTTTAAGCCTTCTTTGTTTGGTTTATCTATTGCAGTTAGAGGTTATTATTTTGGAACTGACTTGTGTATGTTCTTATTATTTATGGAACTTAAACCAGTGTAGAGTGATGTTATCATGGAATTGGATTGTTTTGGTTTCTTGTCCCAGCCTTTTTTATAGAATAATAAATTGTTGCAGGTAATGCTTATAGATTCGAAAATGGTTTGAGGTCGGAATTTGGACCAAGTATCACTCGGTATTCGAGAGATTACCAGTAGCTAGTTTTGATTGCAAACTATGGTATTAAAATATTTGACTAAAAAATGATTTTAATAAATAATGGACAAGACTTGCCTGGACAATATATTTTTCACTTTTCTGATTACTTACCGTCCCTACTAACCGGTGAATGAACAAGTTTTGTCCATTTTTTTGGTCAAATATTTTATTTCGAAATGTTAATAAGTTGATTATGTCCCATTTTCTTGTTGATAACGGTAGAATCATGGTAATAATCAACAAATTCCGTGTTAAGGCCTTTATGGTAAAGCTTGGAAGCAGACACTTTCATGTTACTTATGTAGGTGTTCTTAATTTAAAAATAAATTTAATTATTTTGGATACTTGGCACACTTCACTAACGGTATAACACAAACGCACACACAGATAGATATGTTCAATTTCGAATACTATCAAGGGCCCTTTTTTTTATTATTATTTTATTTTTAATGTCATTATTATATACAGGTCACACACAACTCACAAGAAAAGCACAGTCGACACTTTTTCACAAATAGTAGGTTGGGCCTTTGGCATGGTCTTTTGGTCCTGTTGTCCTTTTTGTTGTTGGGCTTTGTAAATCCTCACTTCAATCTATATACTTGCTTTACCTTCCCAAAAAAGAAAAAAATATAATAATAATATACTTGGCAAAACTTCTTTTAAAATTATGTGGGAGTAACTTATTATAAAAATTAAATAGTCTTACTCAATAAATATAGATAAATAAAAAATTTATATTTATTTACATTTGTATTCATGCCCCATCACGTCTTCTTATTCTTTTATTAGAATTTAACGTATTCGTATCATATGATGTCGAAAATTAGTATCATGTTATGTAACCCAAACAAATGATTTTAAAGAGTGATAACTTATAGTTAGTCATCAAATTGCTTCTTATTTTAACCAAGTAAGTTGAGTGCTTTAGGCAAACCTAATTCTAGTGAACTAGGAAACAACACAGATAAGGTATAATAAGCAAGGTTTGCTTTTTAATCACTTACAGTGGGTTATAACATGTTGTGTGATGTGTGTGTGGTGGTGGATAAGAACACAAATGGTTTGATGACCTAAAAGAAGTAGGTCATGGTTGTTTACAATCGTCATGAGGGAGCACATGTGCCCTACCAATCCACACAAAATTAGGTCGTATTTTTTCTACTGCGCTTTGCCAGCATCATCCAAGAGACTCACATATCTTTCTTGTTATAATAATGCTCTTTAAATTGCCAATTTGTTGATTCACTTTTGAGACTCTTAATTTATATAAAAAATTGTCACTTTTGTAAAGCTAAACGAGTGGCTAGAGCTTGTGTCGGTCCTCTAATTAACTATCTTATGGAGTTTTAAGAGTTTGGATCTATATATTATATATATGGTTGAGGTGGGTAGTTGATAGGATAAAATAAGTAGTGGTTTTAATTTTTTAAATTAGGGCATAGAACATTACATCATGAAGTGGAGGATACTTTGTTTAATTCTCTTCCTCTAGGACCATTTCTCACGAGATTTCTTGAGATTATTGTTGTACAAATGAACCAATATAATTAACTTACAGTCACATAATTTTTTATAAACGAGGTCTTACTCTCAATCCCATTACGTGTGATTTAAATTTTGTTGGTTTTGCACTTTCGTTCTCTCATTCGTTCCCGCTTTATGTGAGTTAGTAATTAACTTACAATCAGATGGTCTCAAGTTCAATGGTGTTAATTTGAAGAGAAAGGTTGAGAGCTTGAATCCCACTAAAAACATTTTGTGAATATTGAATGTGTATTTGCCTTAACATCAAAAAATAATTAACTAATCCTTGAAAATGAGAGAGTTGGAGCCTTGGAGGGTTTGAAAATAGAAGTACTTTCAATCGATAAAATAAAAAAATCCAGAGGAGTTGAAGGAAAGCACATATATATCCACAATAAGGACACTCAGTTATCAAGCTTTCTTCTTGATCATACCAACCAAACTATATCGGGTGGTAACTCTCAATCATTTTCGTATAACCTAACATCTCCACAAGTTTGTTTACTTAAAAGCATTTTCACAGGGAATCAATATTCTGTTGAAATAGTGGTTCTCTATACATGTAAAGATCATGATTTTTTTTAAAGGTTATATAAAGATCATGTCGTGGTTGCTTTTGCAAGTAAATTAGTTATGTGCCGGGTGTTCATTTAGTTGGCAAACAGAACTCATCATTGATCAATTACTCGGATGTGCTTACCATTTAATTATATATATATATATAGGGGCAGAGTCAAAAATTAAATTCAGACAGACATAATGTAAAAAAATAATAATAAAAAAATCAATAAATGTGAGAATAAATATAAATTCTTTAAATCAAGAGGCAAAGAAAAAAATAACTCAAAATAATATGTCAATCAATGAGTTATTTTAAAAAGATAAATAGTTAACAAAAATTTTAAAAATAAAAAAAAAAATGAGAAAACTTTAAAAAGGAAACAAAAATTGGACTTCAATTGGACAAGAAAATTTTGATTTTTTTTTAAAGAAATTAAATGAGTTTAAAGAATAAAAGAGAATAAGACATTATATAAATTTTTTCCCATATACATATAAAAAAATGTAAATTTAATATATGTATTATAGTAAGTGGGATATGGCCAGAGAACACGGGCCCCTGAGCATCCACGGGCTCCGTCCCTATACATACATACATATATATATATATATAGATATATACATATATATACCCTTGAGACACATTTCATCATCTTTCGTCTCTCGTATGTGTTTCTATGTGTGCATTTGTGTGCGTTGGTGATCTTACGTGGGTAACCACTGCCTCTCAATATGCTTTCTTTCCCAACAACCTTTTTCGTGTGAAAATGCTTGGCCTCAAAATGGTGGAGATAAACTGATCATGACGTAATTCAACGGCCACTATTTTACGTGTCCAATTAATTAATTGCATTTCTGTGAACCTTTATCTCCACTTTCTCTCACTCCCTATTATCAATTGGTTTGGTTCCCAAAATCAGTAAATTTAACTTTGCAATCACTAGAAGCTATCACCTATAGACCATCTGATAAATAAGTGACTTGAACATACAGAGGAATGTGTTGGTCCATTAATGGATGACATTGGTCCGTATATGTATGTATCACCTTCCCTAAGTTTGGGCAATAAAACACTAGTAAATTTTACTTATCAGAAAGTGATTTTTAGTGTAAATAGTAAGAAATATTTTTTTATTATAATAATAGACGGAGTATTATATTTCATTTTATATAAAAAAAATAGTAAAACTGTCATTTATAAAATTTGATCAACCGATCTACTGTAAAGAAAAAATTTATGATTTATTATTAAGTGCACACATCAAATGTCAAAAAAGGTTAAAAGTAAAATCATTAAACTGTAATTTGATCAAGTTTTAAGAAATATCTGCGTTATTTACCATTTTTTTTTTTTTTTCACAAGATAGATTGTGATTTAAAAAAAATTGAGTTGTTAAGTATTTATAATAATAGATTAGAGGATGACATCAGACCACTAAGTCATTTATAATAATAATAATAATATGAAGGAAAAAAAAAAACTTAAATCAAAACTTTAATTACACACAGATAATTGTTAATAAAAATAATGTTATACAAGTGGATTCAATTTCTACGTTATTTTCTACAATAGAGTGGATGATGATTTATCATTCTTCGTACGAGAGAGTACAAGCCAATCGACTTAATTATAGATTTTATTATAGATTATTAGTATTTTTTTAATTAATGGTCGTTTGGTGGCTGGACAAGGAAAGGCAATTTGAAAATTTGAGATCCTATATCACATGCGTTCAATCACGTATAGTGTACTTCTACTATCCAAAATGATATATATATATATATATATATATATATTCTTATCCTGACAAAATGATATGTATATATATATATACAAATTTATTTATTTTTATATTTTATACCTGTTAAATTTTATTTATTTATTTATGTGCCTTTAAAATTTAAATTACGGCCCTCTAAAATTATTAAAAAAAAAAAAAAAAAATCTCTATTTCCCCCTTAACTTCTTCATTTTTGGTTAAATACAGCCTCTACTCACATATTTTTTTGGATCCATCCTATCACGTCACCTTGCGTGCGTGATGGTACGATATAAGTTGTTTTTGCTTTTGTTCTAAAGCGTAAAATATTTAAGTAGCTTGTGAAAATAGGTGCTTGTAAAAAAAACAAAAAAGCAAAATACCAAGATGATTCTGGTACATTTTTTTTTTTTTTTTTTCCCGAAGATGATTCTGGTACATACTCCGAATAAAAATGAACTACGAAATTAAATTCTTTGCAGAGCACTTTTTGTCCTTTTAACTTAAAAAGAATAAATTTTCTTTGAAAGGAGGATAGAGATTCCTCACTTTTATCGTGTAAAAAAGAGAGGATATTCAAGGAAAAAAGTAGGCCAGTAGAGGGATGGATGAAGACTTTGATTGTTTGGCAAGAGGGAAAAGAAAAGAAAAGAAAAGTATAGGCTTACTGTGGCAGAGGAGATGTGTTCCACTAGAACTCTCTTCTCCACCCCCCCTCCCCCCACCCAAAATGCCCTCCACATCATCACGAATGACCCCACCATTCCTTATTGCAATAGCTAGTCCAGATCATCACGAATGACCCCACTATTCCTTATTGCAATAGCTAGTCCACACCACCGCAAGTAACACGACACAATTCTGATGGGGAAAGGAATCATATTAATTACCTAACTCTATATATTTTTTCCTAAGACACATATTTTGTCCAAGGCGTAAACCTCCAACTTTCCTTTGGAGAATAAGAATTTGGTACCGTTAGGTTAGTAACTTATTGATTAACTATTTTTATTATATTTTGCATTGTGAGGATGTTC